AGTGCTACAGGCTATAAAACATCACGCTACGATTAAATGAAGCCGAGCAGCGGGTGAAATGACGAGAGAGTAGCTAGTAATATTATAAAGTAGAAAGATTTGATTGTTTTTTGGTTTGAATTGGATAGGGTTCAAAACTAATTAACGCATTTAACACTTTCACTGGTTAGAACCTACACTATCCCCATTGAACATAGGCTATAAACTAAGTTGATGAAACCGCAGGGCACAGCTATATACAAATATATATTGAAACTTATTTTCAGATTCTAGCAGCATTAAATTTCTACGCCTGGGGCCATTTGCGTGGGATTAATAATAGACGCTGCAGGATGTTGCTCTCAAAACAGTCCAGGACTCGTTGCACAGGAGAAGTGACGCGCGCCCTGAATGATCCCAGCATTATAGAGAAATTCATACAGTTCCCAGAGAATCAGGAGGACAGAGAAATTAATAAACAGAAGTGAGTGTTTTTACAAAATCTATCTGTATGTATAAAAATAAATGCTAATTTTCGTTGTAATGTTATAACTCAACAATGCCTTTACCGATTTGGCTAATTTTAGTCTTGAGTTACTCGTGGAGGTCCAGAGAAGGTTTGTACTTAGAGGGAAAAAAACTTGAAAAGGTGTAAAAACGACATCCAAGCGATCGGAGCCGCGGGCGACTACTAGCCCTTTTTAAGTTAGTGTCAGCATCTGTTATTTCGACTTTTCAAAAAAATGCAGGTAGTTCGGATAGTATAAAATAACTTTCCAGATTTAATCTGCATAATATGTTTAATATTTTTTAAATAAGTCAACATTTCTTTTTTATATTTTTGTTTTAAGTTTTAACACAACAAAAATTGTACATCAGGCGAACTTAATTCATTGAGCATTCTCTTCCGGTCTACCCTAGGTTAATGCAGGGACAATCCAGTAATAGATGCAAGAAGTAAGCTAGATTTAATTATTATGTTTTCGGCGTACTCACGTAATAATTTGACGAGATACTCGACTTGTTTTAAACCATGCTAGAGGCATATTCATGAGCAGCATTCCGCGACACGCGACTCGGCGACTGTCGCTGGAGTAGCACGCGACGACGGTGGCTTGAAACTAGTCGAGTATCTCGTCAAATTATTACGTGAGTAAGCCGAAAACATAATAATTAATTTAAAATGTCTCACGAGAGTTGTAATAAAAAGCTAGATTTACGTACTTATTGTTGCTATACCGTAAATCTAATTGCTTTATAGGAATGTGTTTAGAATTCGTCTATAAATTCGAATTCGCAGATTATGGACAACATACTACATAAATTACCTGAATCGATTTTATTTCCTCATTAAAAAAATATAAGATTACACAGAATTTTTAAAACAATAAGAAATCTCTTGGGCACATACCTATTTGGGAATAGATTCAGTGGTTCTCAATATTGCGCCTAACAATTTTTTTTATTGTTTTATATTGATGATCTACACATCTATCATTGTCCACAGATATTACGAGAAATTTGGTTTCCCGAATGTATTAGGCTGTGTGGACAGCACCCATGTGCTAGTCCTTAAACCCCCAACTGATGACCACCACTTATACATCAACAACAACAACCACACTGTTTTTTCTCAAATTGTAAGTACTGTTACCTATCTCCAATGTACGATTGCTTCAGTATTGTTTCCTTGAAAGAGTTAAAAATAACTTTTTTTATGGTATAGGTTGGCCAAGGGGCCAACGGATTACCTGATGGTAATCAATCAGCGCGGCTCATGGACACCCGCATATGGCAATAAGGGTTTTGGATATTTAAGGATTGGGAAGGGATGGGGAGAGTTATTGGGCCTCCAGTAACTTCACTCACACGGTGAAACACAACGCTGTGATTGTTTCATACCGGTTTTCTGCGCTGTGGTTCTTTCGTGCTGAAACATGACTCTCCCACACTTAAATCACTCATAACATGTCAATCACACATCCGTAGACACATCAATTTATTGTAAAAACTAACTAAGTAACTAGTCGAGTATCTCGTCAAACAAATGATTACGTGAGTAAGCCGAAAACATAATAATTAATTTAGAATGTCTCATTAAAGTTATAATAAAAATAACTACAACATTCATCGACAACCCATACAATTACGTTATGAACTACCTACTAAATTGTATTTTTTAATCACCGGTAGGTATTTCAAAATTGAAATTCTAACCATTTGGAGAGCACAAATAAAAATGTTATGTATGTGGAGGCGCTCTTAAAAAACGTTAGGTTTTTTTGAAAATCCCCCGCCCTCCCCCATTGGTGAGATGTCGTGAGATTTTATTCAATCCCTCCCCCCATCGCCCAATGTCACTTGCGATTTTTCAAAATATAGGTTTCTTACTAAACGCATGTACAATCTGGATTAAATGGACCAAAACAGTATAATTTCTTTTTTTTTTGTTCATTCACAAAGTAAAGTAGGTACGTCTTTGCCGAGACCCTCCATCCAACGTAAGAATAGATGAGATTCGAATCGACCTTTCTCCCCCCCTTAAACATCTCACGTATTTTATGAACGCCCCCTAATGTTATGTTGAATAATAACTAATATTTATTTCAGGTTTGCGACGCTGACTGCAATATAATAAGTGTGGACGCGTCTCACGGTGGAGCCTCCACCAAACAGGATTTATGGACGGCAAATCCCCTTTCTTCTCATATGCAAAATCTCAAAGATACTGCTTACATTTTGGGTAAGTGATCAGAGGAGCTCTTGACAAAGTACCCTCAACAATTAAACATCTAGTCTGTCAAATTTCAATATACCTACATAGTTTAGGTATCGGTTGTTTCAATTCCTTAATGTTTTTTTATGTCATATGTCGGCAAAACGAGCTTACCGATTACCTGATGGTAAGCAATCAGCGCCGCCCGTGGATACACCAGCCACAACAGTTGCATTTTACAAGTGCGTTGCCGACCTTTTGGGGATTAGGGATTCGGATTGGAGGAGGGAAAGGATTGGACCCCCGGTAACCTCACACACACGGACAAACACAACGTTGTGGTTGTTTCACGCTGGTTTTCTGTGAGGCCGTGGTATCACTTCGGTCGAACCGACCCATTCGTGCCTAAGCATAGCTCTCCCACACTTCAATTGTTGATATACATATTTGATACCTTTTCTGGTCGGAGGTGCTGGGGCTTGAGAGAAATATGGTATTAGGATACATGTAAACCACCAGAGAGAACCATTCACTCCGACCAGTGCGAAAAAATTGTCTGATCCTTGCATTCCTCACGCTCTCGTTCATTTTTGCTTACCTTGCACTCTGCCATACATACTTACACGTGTCCCTACTATAAAACTTCCTGAGATTTTTTCCTCATTCGGTAGGCACAGGTCCCTCTAATTGAGAGCGTTTTCTTGTTCATTGGTCTCTATCCGACTTATTGTTATTATGTCTGACCTTTTTTTTAGAAAACTTAGTTTCACTAAAGTATACTGACGGTCTATAATTCTATTTTGACGTTAGAAAAGTAGTCGGAATCAATGTTTTTGTGCTAGACATTAGGGGAGAAAAATCGTCAAGTCGTAATTGTCATACTCTTACTGTTTCTTTATGGGATAGGGCGGCAAACATGCAGAAATTACCTGATGGTAAGCAATAAACGCCGCATTCAGGGAGTTACTATAAGTGATTGACAGACTTTGCTTTTTTAGGATTTAAAGAAAGGGGAAATGGGGATTTGGAGGGAAGGGTCGGGCCTCCGAATTTGAATTAAAAACCATTTCCATTTTTTCTCCTGCTCCGGCTCAGAGCCATGGTACATAAATGCGGTTGCAACCGCAACCCCGTCTGAACCTTGAATCAGATCTGATACCAGTTGCTCAGCATAAGCAGATTATACCTACATAAAATTTATTTTTCAGGAGACTCAAGCTATGCCCAACAAGACTACCTAATGACGCCCATAAAAGATCCAGCGAAATTCTCACCGGAGAGTCGCTACAACGTAATCCATAAAGCAGCACACTCCACCGCCTTGCAAACAATACGGGAATTAAAATCTAGATGGCGCTGTCTCATAACTAACAAACCAAGGTACTATTTTGACATGATGGGAAAGATTTTTAAAGCTTGCTGTGTTCTACACAATATTTGTAACATGTCGGGTCTGAAAGCTCCTGAATTGACTACGAAGGACATTCAAGCTGAGAAAAGGAAATATAAATATCCGAGTTTTTGTGACGTTGAGGATAGTCCTACGGGCATAGAGGCCAGAAGTCAGTTGGTTGAGTATTTTGAAACTGTGAGATTTGTGCACAAACGATAACAATACGGTATTTGACAACTAGTCAAATTCATTACTTTTATCCGAATGTCAAAAACGATACTTTTATATGAAACACTGAGTGATGACGTCATAGTATTTTTACGTAAAATACCCAATTTTGTGTGGAAAACAGGTATGTGACGTCCTCATATGTTCGGGTCAAACAGAATACTTTTCTCTTAAAATAAAAATTCTAAAATTAGTGTATTGTTGTAAAATTTGTATATTGAAATCTTGAAGGAATTTATTTTGGACAGTGGAAAATACCCAATTTGTGTATCAATCGTGTCTAACTACTTAAAAGTAATTAAAGTAGGTTTGCTATGAAATGAAATATTATTTATTACGTCCCAGAAGTAATTAAGTTAGTACCTACTTATATTTTAGTAAAAATAGTTTGTGAAATAAGAAATTTTGAAATCTAATTAGATATTAAGTACATATTATTGTAATTGCTGATTTGTGCTTTAATGTTAAGAATGTGTAAAGAATATAATATATGTATTATGTTTTCTCATGAAAAAATGTGTTTTATTAACCCGTGATATTCCAGAATGCAGGTTTAAGAGAGACACAGTGTATTTTCTTTTGTATCTCATAAGAATAGTAAGTGTTAGTCAATAACTACTCGAATCCAATTGAAATATATATTTTAAGGTAAAATTTTCATTTTACACAAATAAAAACCTTATATTGAATGCAATAGAAGTCATTGTATTTGTGATAAAAATATTATTAATAAACTTAACAATAATTATTTCATAGAATTGACTTATTTAACTAAACATCTCGATCTAGGAGTTGTTTCATGACTGCTAGCATTTCTTGCATTGTCTGTCTGATTTCGGCCAATTCAGCCGTCCCCTGTTGTAAATTCACCCTTATTACTGACAACTCAGAGTTCCTTTTTTGGTCGTTCTTTAATCTTTCTTCTTCCAATTTGATGAATTGTTTTGTGTATGGATCCATGCATGCTTTCAATCGTAATCCTCCTCGATATCCCTCTGTTGACAAAACAAATATTTTATGTTAGTACTTTGTACATTGTGGTGGTTGTTAAGGGGAAAATCATCTAATGACTTCGTGACCTGACACTCTCTCTCGCCCAGGGTTTTTTTTTATGTAATTGGTCGGCAAACGAGCAGACGGATTACCTGATGGTAAGCAATCAGCGCCGCCCATGGACACCCGCAACGGAGGAGTTACGAGTGCGTTGGCGACCTTTTTGGGATTAGGGATTTGGAGATTTAGAGATTGAGGAGGGATTGGGGGCGGGGAAGGATTGGGCCTCCGGTAACCTCAATCACACGGCGAAACACAACGCTGTGGTTGTTTCACGCCGGTCTTCTGTGAGGCCGTGGTAGCACTCCGGTCGAGCCGATCCATTCGTGCCGAAGCACAACCGCCCGAGAGTGTCAGACGCTAACTGACTAAAAATTCCCCGTTCCCTGCTTTATGCCGAGGCCGCGGTACCTCATTGCGCTTACCCCGCAACTCCGGCTACATCTGTCTGTGGTGGTCTATTGGCTCTTTAAGGCGCGCGGAACGCGTCGCGCCCTACGCATGGGTCTGTGGTTGAGACTAGATTGGGGTAAATAACCGAGTGATACAGCGTATTTCTAGTCTTATTAATCCTGTTGGGAAGTGAACCCAACAAACGCGCGGCTATCATGCACTGGCGGCTTGTACACATTGTGTCATCAGCTGGGGGCGGCGACGCAGCGAGCGGGGATACGACCGGCATCGGACCGATACTTGCTTCTTCGGACACAACTGCGGCGGACCCCTCAACAAAGTATCAATGTGTGTTCGGGACCTTTGTACTTTATAACTAACGGCATTTTAAAACCAGTACACCTATTTTAGTACAGTCCATTATCTTATATTATTACACGTCTTAACATATTGGTCTTTCGAGCCGGATCAATATGTTAAGACGTGGAATGTTTAGTTCGTTTCCCCATAATCCCCTTTAATAGTCATGGATGTTGTTGATGTTATATCTGTACATCGCAAAAAAATACCGAGAAGAACAATTTTTTGGTAACAATTATCTTAAGACATCCATTGAAATATAGATAACATAAACTGTTCGAGAAAAGCTCGACTAGTTTCAAACCATTAAGGGAATCGTATTTATGCTCTCGCATAGTTGTACGTGTACAGGACGATGCTGTGTGAAAGTATTTGGTTTGCCGTATATTTTCTACATAAAAATGCAAAAACCCATGTGTCGGCTTTCGCACGGAAAGTAAGTAATATTTCTTACCTCCTGGCAGTGCCGCCTGAGGCGAAGGGGGATCCGAAATAGAAGGAGATAATGGCGGATTGGGTCTTTGCACATCTTCCTTAGAATTCTCAGGGGGTCGCGACACGCCTGACTGGGATGGTTCAGTTGGAGGAGGCTCTTCCTCTGGACCTTCAAACTTTATCCTTTCAGCTGCACTGGGAGGATCTTTCTTGCCTTCTGGTGTTTTGGGAGAATCGGTCTTTCTCACTTCGACTACTACTTTCGGAGGATGACATATTCTTGATTCCGATCTTCTAGAAGAATTTTTATCGTCTTTCTTCTTTTTCGCACGAGGTTTCCATGGAGTGTAGCGTTTCTTCGGTTCCGGTGGACCAGCCGGTTCCTCCGGTACCTCAGGTTCTTTCGGTTTTGGTTTCGGCTCAAGTTCTGCTTTAAGCGCATTTCGCTTTTGAGCTAATGACTCTGCTAGAAATTCATGAGCCTTCATTTTTGGTTTAACTACTTCTGGTTTTGCCTGTAGAAAGTAGATGATAATTAACAGTTAGAAAACTTGTAACATTGTCGTGCAATAAGAAGTTTTTAAATCTCCGATAGTAGGGATAAACACAAAGTAGAGATAAACTTGACAGAAATATAATTAAATTGAATTTTAATTACTCAAAAAAACTGAATTTTTAAGCAAACGCAGAAAATGTCCCTAAAACACCTATTTCAAGGTCTCTGGGAGGAACTGACTAACCTCAGGTTTTCTCGGCCAGGCGGGTAGCGGGTAGTTTGATACAACCGGCTTAGGAGGTATAGCCTCGCCCAAAATAGTGAGGATCTTCTTATCTTGCTGGGTCAACTGCAGAGTAGGGGGCGTACCGGTTGATACTGCCGCAAAATGGACTGCTGCCGTCTTCCGTGCCACGTACTTTCTATCCGACCAGACCTGGAAGGAGATTAGGATCCGTCAACTATCAAACACCACGTCTTTTGGACATAGATCTCCCCCTTATTTGTGAGGCGAAAAGCATCAAATGACTTCTATCGCCTAGGAGGAGGGAGTGTCACACTTGATGACTAAAAACGCCCCCGTTTCTTCTCCTATTCTAAGCTAAAGCCACGGTACCTTGGTTCTCTTGATTCATAGATATTTCCCCTAAGGAATTTAGAAAAGGAGTGTGCCATAATCTTGATATTGGGCAAGATTTGGGATCGTAGTTAGGTCAAAATTTAATTTTGAGAATGCCCCTTTAACTTACTTGTTTATTTTTTATTACGGTTATAGGCACAGGCCAGCAGATTTATATTCTTACAATTTTTTCGATTTTTTATTGTTACATGAGGACAGAAATATATTATGTATTTAATATAGATGTTTAAGTTTTCTGATGTGATTCATTGCATGTTTTCATCTCACTCATTCGCGCAGTGACTGGGGAACTGGCTATTATGCAACGTGTTGCGATTTTAATGCTAGTGTGGGGAAATGTGTTTTTTTTTAAATGAAGAAAGAATGCAAAGGCTGCCAATCCAAAAATCTTTCATAAAATTATTAAATGACTCATAACTTATCATTAGCATTTTGCTTACAATTGATGAATGGAAAAAAAAACTTATTGTCACTTGTTTTTTTTTTGTTCGAACTTACTTCGCGTACACAAAATTATACCTACGCGTAACATCAAGATACCAGATAAGAAATAATGCTAACTCATAGTGAACTAGCGAAGCGTTATCGTGATAAAAGGAAAAAAGTGTTTTTATATGAATTGAGCCTTGAAAGACGTAGGTAGCTAGGTAGGACATCTACAAAAGATCGTCCAGAAAAGGTTAAGGCGTCGTTACGCTGACAATATTAAAGAAATATAAACAGTTAAGTATTAATAATACAAATTTTAATGACGTGGTGGCCCGGAGGTTAAGGAGCCCGCTTCTCATGCATGAGGGTTCGAAACCTGGCAAGTACCAATGTGACTTTTTCCGAGTTATATGTTCTTTCTATGATTATTTAGACACCACTGGCAAAGGTGAAGGTAAACATCGTGAGGAAACCTGGACTTATAATTTCTTATTATAAGTTTGAAATCGCCAACCCGCATTGAGCAAGCGTGGTGATTAATGCTCTAACCTTCTCCGTATGAGAAGCAGTGGACACTTAAAGGCTGATGAAGAATACATATTTGATATGCATATTAATGCATAATGGCTGAGATTTTTTGGGAGGGATTAATTATGAAATGTCTTCTGTATCACCCAGGGTGAAGCGAGAGGGAGTGTCAGACTCTTACTGACTAAAAACCCCCTTCCTTCTCCTGCTCTAGGCCGAGGCCGCGTTACCTTATAACGCATACTCCACAACCCCCGCTGAATAGTGGTTGGGTGATTGGGAGTTTAGCTGCTGATTCCAAAGCGGAAAAGATCATATCTTTGTAAAAAAAATTTGGATATGAAGGCGATGAAAGAGAAGAAAGTTCTCTTGTGAATTCTGGAATATTTACAGAAAGTAAGAAATAATGACTCACCCTCTGCCATTGTTGTGTAGTTTTAGTACAACCACTGATGGTGTTAAGTTTCTCAGCAATATCTTCCCAAAGTTGATAAGCCTTGGCCCTGCCAGTGGGCCCTCTCAACAGACAGTTCGCAAGGTCCGTGTGTTCACTCAGAAAATCAAGGAAAACCTTCATCTGTTTCCTCGACGGCGCATTGGGTTGCCGGCTCCCTAAAAACAAAAATTATATTTATTGGTTGGTCACCCTCGAATAATTCAAAAAGTATAACTTTCGTATACTTACAGCATGCTGTATTATGTTGTATTTTCTGTATTTGTTTTGTTTTTTTTTTATAAATAATCTTGTTGAACTTACACAGTGCCGGTATAAGGGGAAGAAATTATCGTAATTTAAAATTATTTGTTAGTCAACATGGTCATTTTAAACAATGCAGTCACCATTACCTATTTTGTATAATCTCTACTCTTTGAGATATTTATTTCATAAATACATGCATATATAATAAATAGGGTTAAGTACATTTTAAGACGGAGGTGGTAATATATGTGGCTCTATAATATTAATTTCATATTTATATCTTTTCTCCTATAGGATTAGTCCCTTTTGCCACGCATGCATTTTAGTCACGTAAAATATACTTATTCAATATGTATCGTATAAATTTAAATGAGTAATAAAAATAATAAATATTTTAAAAAATCGTATTAATTGTAAGTAGTATCAGTTTCTTTTTGATCAGATAATTAAACTAAGAAATTTAATTTTAACACATCTAAATACTTAAAAATTAATTATCAAATATTTTTCGCTCTCAAAGTATATTTAAATCATTGGGATATGACTGAACAAATTACTCACTCATTGACAATATGTGCTTTAACTTCAGAATATACTATAAATAGTTATTAGAATTTTTACTTACAAGTAAACTGTATGAGAAGTAACCAATAATCAAGGGCATGTTTCATCATCATTCATAAATTGACGTGTAAAAGTGCAGTTTTATGTTCTATTTGCAAAAATAAATTCATTGTTTCATTGTTTCATCAATACTGTATGAGTAAAATCATAAATAATTGTCTATCTGAAGCAGATTCCATATGTAAGAATATGTCAAATTATCTAAAAGTTACTCTAAAAGTAATATAATAAAAACATTGCAAAACTGAGGTCCGTGAGTTTCGTTTGGGGTGGAGTTCGGCAGTCCATTGGTGTCTATATTTAGGTTTGAATTGTAATACTGATTAAAATTATAACATTGTAATATATAAAAGGATTGGCTTATGATTAACACCCACTCCCATATAACCGAGGGTAAGACAGAGATGTAATATCATTTACATACACCATAAAATCCAATAAAATTTGAGTATTGAAGTAACAGGGATGATGACATTTTTTAAATAAATGAGACAGTGAAAGGTTCCTCTCCTTAACTTTTAATTTTATTATCATAGTTCCGTTTCTTGTTAAGACACATGTAATATAGTTCACATCAAATATTTTTTCAATTATCTAAATAAATGTATAATTTTCGTAGCCCATCATCATCCCTGTTAACGTATAGTCTATATCAATATAGTTATTCCCCAATAAGATTAGTAAATAAAACTTAGAGTATATACTCACTCCGAAGCTCTTCATTCATATCTTCATCGTCCAGCGTCGCTTCGTTGTCCGATGTTTCTTCCTCTCTAGAATCTTGAGATTCATCTTCCAATGGCTCTGGTTTTATCCATAACTCTTCTGATCGTACTGAAATAATTTATGTTGAGAGTAATTATTGACGGCAAGTGGTCAAGCAAGTTTTTTAATGTATCTTGTATACTGATAGCAAAGTGGCTAATTAGTTTATTTGTTAGTTGGAACTTCATATCTGATAAGGTTAAGGTCCAATAAGGGTGTCTAAAAGACTATCTTGCCTGTTTAAGGGTATCACAACAAAATTTTATTGTTAATCCATTTAAAATTAAATCCATGGTAGCCAAATACATACACAGACATGAACATGGATCAATGATATGAACATGGTCATGTATAAAACTTGTTATAACATTCATTTTAAAAATTATCTAATCATTTTATTACAAACATGTATTAGTTTATTTTTTTTAAAGCAACTAGAGAGTGCCTTGTAGTACATAGACAATTTCATGTCGTCTAGATAAAGGGCATATTTTGTGTTAATGTATAGCAATATACAGAAAAGCACTCACTAATTGATATTATTTCTTACATTGGTTATAAAATCAACAATAATATAAGCAGTTATTCTTATAAATTGACGAAATGTTCTGTAGTACTATGAAATATGCAAATTTCTTACAGTTGTCTGGTTTCTGGCTGTCTTCATTGTTTGTGCCCTCCTCCTTGTCACCCTCCACTGGTTCGGGCTTCACAGATATTTCTACTAAAGGCACCGACGTTTCCATAGCTGACCGCGCTAACCCACTTTTCCCACCACAAAAACTAACTCGTAAAAATAAAAAAAGGATTGCAGTTACAAATCAATCAAGATGTTTTTATACTGCATTTTCTTGATGTAACTTAGCCGCAACCATGATCTTTGCACATAAAATCATATTTTTAACGTCTGTTCACTTCATTTTACACAAAACTTTGTTGTAATTAATTATTTTCAGTCATTATAGTTATTAGTTGCGAGTCAATATCTACCGGTTGCGGACGCGGTTGACCGACGATACAGTTATTCGCGGCGTTCAGTTCATTACGACCTCTTAACAAAAAAATAACACTGTACACACCAATAAGTTATTCACTATTGAATAAACTAGAATTATATTGCACTATTTGTATATCTATCAAGTCCTTTCTCGCGTTTATATCCAATCGATCTATCCACAACCACAATCAGCCATTTACTTGTCAAAACCTGTTAGTGTTGTACGCTGCGTAACTAATTCAACTAGTTCTATCGATTGCCCTTAACAAAAATATACAAATCTTATTTAATGTGATACTGATTACTACACAAATGTTCTGCGAAGTATGATATAAATGAAATAAATCATCAGGACTCAGTTCATTTCATTAAAAAATACTTAATTTAAAATTTAAAATCGCTCCTCTCAAAATGTTGTAAAAGATATTTAAACTAAATCACAAGGGCAAGTATATTAGAAATGCAACAAAAACAAATGTATTACTTCATTGTCAATTTTTAACAGTAATCTGTGTCTTCCGGATCGATAAAAAATTCGTATGCATTTTACAGCACTACGCTTATAAGGGAGCTTGTACACTACACATCTTTGTGAATCTTGTCTATGCATAAGATTTGAAAAATTGAAAAAATATATATGCCTTTTCGTAAATAAGTTAATTTAATACATTTTTATTCTCGACAACATATACAGGGATAAAAAATATTGAAAATTGTGTTAACACCCACAATTTACCAGTTCCGCTAAAATTCATAAGTGGATATCGGGACCTTGCATGGATTCGGTCATTTTCGAAGACGGCCAATTACCTAATTCCAGGTTCATCTACCTGCCTACCAGGGTTGATCTACCTACCTACCATAGGGACCAGCTACCGGTTTACAAAGAAGTCAGGGGGTCTACCCTGCCGCATCGACACCCTGCTGCATCGACGGCTGTGCTACTACGGAGCTACAAGCGACCTACCTAAACAATTACTGATCCAGGATAGTGGTGTTTCTATCGGCGAACTAGGATTCGTACGCGCTCGATATTCAAGCTCACTCCCGGCTCAACCGACATCTAACTACCTACCTACGATTATTAAATTTATAACGAATTAACTTTTTTTTTTCATTCTACCCAAAGAGAACAAAAGCGTTACAACTAAATACGAATTTCAGTGAGTTCGGTCGTGTTTTACTGTAGGTATACTGTACAAAAATCCCATATTCACCTGTGGACGCGCGAATATAAAAATAATGGACTAGTTTAAAAAAAGAAAAGTGCAAAGGAATACCCTTTTACTTTGTCACAAAATTATCAGCGCCATTAATTGATTAATAGTAAGGTCAAAAAATACCTTTTTGTTATAACTTTCGTGATAAATTAATTATTGTTTCATTTCACTGGTATGAATCAGTAGCAGCGCGACAGTCGCCGCGTCGCGTGTCGCGGAATGCTGCTCATGAATATGGGCCTCTAGCATGACTTGAAACTAACGACTTGAAAGTCGAGTATCTCGTCAAAACAATTACGTGAGTAAGCCGAAAACATAATAAATACTTTTAGGGTTTTTTTTGGGTACCACGGACTATTGAGAAAGGTGCCCAAAAACATTACGATAATTTTGACACTTTGGAAATAAAACCATAGAAAATCGTTCCTAAAATTTATTTCGAACCGTTACACATAACTTAATAAAAAATTAGATGTATTTAAATTTTTATATGACTTAAAAAGAGTGTACAATTCATTACAGTATGACATGTAATCTCAAAATATAATGGTTTCTATACAAGTCGATAACATTTTGGTATGTCTATGTACTAATTCAGAAAGAAATAAACAAGAGCATTATTTTCTCAATACTTCGTTTTTACTGGCCAAGTTGAGTGATATTGTTGGGAAAAGAAGTATGTATATTTTTCATCAAAACTGTACTATGAGATGTTAATTGTAGGATAATATTCTACATTAGTCAATTCCAAGTCAATATAAGGAAAAAATACGCTAGAAAGAAAAAAGAAAAACTTACTCACAGAGAAAAAGAAACTTTAAATATAAGTAAGTAAGAAACAATATCAATTAACTTGGCCAGCTATCTACAATAATACTAAACTAAATACATAATTGTTGCACCTGTGCGATTATAAAAATATTGACTATGGTATATTTGAGAAGTACACCTCATTTCTGAGAGGTCAACTACCTTGTTGACTAGCGTTCGAAATTTAAATTACGTTTTTATTTATTTTTTATCAAACTTGTGAGTTATTATTGGAAATTATGATTTTGTTGCGATGTTTTTGTGCTATGTACTCACAAATTCAGTCTTATTTTTATAAAACTTAAACAATGAAATGCATTTCTAATTCAAAGTCTTATAGCTTGTAAAAAATAAACATTAAAAATAGTTTTCATTCTCATATTGTCTATACGATAGGTTTTATTGAAACTTTTCCCCACACCAGTATTTATTCCTGTGTTTACAGACATATAATTTCACATACACATCACACTCAGACACGGGACAACTATTTGTAGATCACACAAAGAGTTGTTCCGTGCGGGAAACTGTGACGGTACGGTAGCCGTTTGCCGTAATACCGCGTCAACTGTATAAAAATTATATTACCACATCGTCTATATACTCCGTAGATGCGAATAAAACTCACACTTACTACAAATATAAATAAAACTGTTTTTAGAGTGAACACTTACAATCAGAAACGAGGTATAAACTTCAAAAAATAACTCAAGTCACAAGAAAATCGGTGGAAAATTATATTTACAGAAAATGACATTATTTCACTATAAAAAAGAAACTTACACTAACATGGTACAAAACAAAAAATGGAAGAACAAGATTGTATTTATAAAATTACAAAAAGGAATAAACGTAAACACTAGCGTGGTAGCATTATTGACTGAATTGTTATGTTTATAAGAGCTGATTTTGTTTGCAATAATGTTACCACTGAAAATAATAATAATTAGTATATAATAAGCCTGTGACTTGAGTATATTTAACATGGACTTATACTAAAATATATAATTTAACGATTTTTTGATGATCGAGTTTCTATAACTAGTGATTTACTTTTACTTACGACTTTAGACGTCACAATCCCATATTTTTGTTACTATACGTAGGGTGAAATTATAGGTCTATGGAAAATATCTTGATAAAGTAACTAAGTGAATTCAATGTTTTTTGGGTCATTCTTCACATCAATTTAACTAAAATCAGTGATGTCATTATCTTCAACCCAAAATTCTGCCGATTAAAACGCAAATAATAATATTAAATTAAATCGCACCACTGTTACAAGCCATCGATTTCAATTATTCAATAATAAGTTCCTATAAGATGCTTAACGAACCGGGAGAAAAAATGATTTGTTAAATAAAAGTTAAAGTTGTTTGGAGAATCACCCTTTACACGTACAACTGCCGAAAATTAATATGTATCTCATAAAAATACAGCTTCATTTCTAACATAGGTTTTATTTTATACCTGACAAATAAAACTGTGAATATTGAAATATTTCCATAAACCCATAATCTCACAATTAATAAGTAACTAAGATTCATTGTACAACGAAACTCCCACACAATCGCTGCGACACAAACATCGCATTTAGACACCGCTAGAGGGCGCTACAAGAGCAAAAAGTTTTAATGTGTAGGCATATTATGTCGAGACCTTTTCCATATCACATACGAACGAATGAAAAAAATCTAGTTGTGTGTTTTAATTGTATCAAAGTCTAATGATTTAAGACTTAAAAGACTTTATACGCTAGCAGCGCCATCTAGCCAGTGCAAATTCGACGTTTACAAGATGCAAAGCACCACACGCTTACATCAGTAGCACACATGTCATGATTATTTAGTCAGCGATGATCAACAACTTAACGACAGACTGACAATTTTAATTACCTACCTATCAATTTGTCAACGAAAAATTGAACTTTTACATGAAGTGTGAAAAAATTCAATCTTTAGTAGACAAATAGAGAGATTGGTGATTAAAATTAACGGCTAGCGGTGCGGGTAAACATTTCGTCGCTGTTTAGGGTCATAAGCATTGATATTTTAGAACTAGAATAGACTGTTGATGGGGTCTGTTGAGATAAGTTTGCGTATTACGCTAAAATGCTGTAGTAGCTTTGCTCATTGCGCTAAATGTTATAATAGTTTTGCGCATTGTGCTTATTTTGTAATAGTTTTGAGCATTGCGCTAAAATCTTGTTATAGCTTTGCGCAAAATTGTTGTGATAATTTTGCGCAACGTGCTAAATATTGTACTAGTTTTGCGCAATGCGCTAAATGTTGTACCTACTATGTTTGCGCATTGCGCTAAAGCTATTATAAGTGCGCAAATAATAGGAGTAGGTTATAAATTATGAATGATGACTATCATAATACTAGTAAAATAACCATTCAACAGCCCATTTAAGCTTTAAATATCAAAATTACACCCCATCAACAAGTGTAAGCATGTCAAAAATGTACAATATTAGAGTAAAAATGTTACAAAGCTAACAGTCAAACAGTGTTCGATGTATACAATATAAATATCAATTCCTTATGGAAATATTATTTGGTTTATTGAACGAACATGCAAACTGAAAAAGTTTATAAAAGTTAAATTGCATATAAGTTTTTATGTTAAATAGTATCTTGCATCCACGACGAAGAAGATTCTAGATCTTCGTACTTGTTATGTAAAATAATATTTCAAGTTTTCATTTCATCAGGAAGCCATCTTCAATCGTCCCCAAAATAACTCGGTATAATGTAAAATGCAAGATATTTTTCTTTAGGTACAAGTTCCTTCAACAAACCACAAGGTAACTGCTAATAAAACTGTGTTTTGCTATCAAAGTATACAATGCCCGGTGACTTTTATTCGTAGCTCAACCAGAAATATTCAAAAAAGTTATTCATCAAAATCGTTATTTGAGAAACCTTAAATTCCAAATGATACTGTTGAGTATAAACAACTTGCTGTCTCAAACATCGATTAACGAAGAATTGAGATTATCTAGATCTCAAAAAATCTGCGTAGTTACAAACAATCTCAGAAACTTTATCCTCAATGTTTGGTTTAATCCTGGGACCGATTATATCCGACAAACCAAATATTTATGACGTTTTCTTGTCGACTATGTCCGATATTGGCAAAATAGCCTATTTTTCGTTAATCGTCTATAACCGATTATGGCGGTCAAAAGGTTTAAAAAAAATATCTAAAACATTTTTAAATATTTCTGGTTGTAACTCTATACAAAATTTACCATCACTTACAAACTACATGATTTTCAATCATTGTCGTACAAAATTAGCATTGGTCTATGTAACCGAAAGTTGGCTGCTTTGAACCGGAGCCCGTAACTTTCGGGCTCGAAAAGTCTCTTGAAAGTAATCTATACAAATCCTTTATTGTTTTGTGTAAACTGTATAAACTGTTTTTGTGTTAATTAAATACATACAAAGTCTTAAGAAATTAATATTTTTTAGTCTCACAACAATTAATTATTCTAATTTTATATTCTTTGATATATAAATCACAAATGTTATATGAAAAGTGCCAATTCCTATGTCAACTAGTATTTTAATAAGATGATGATGACGATTCTCTTTTACACTATAATACTTACATTTAGTTTTTTTTTTGTATTTATAGACTTGCTTTACTGACTTGACTTGACTATCGTTCTGTTTGAACATTTCAATAGTGTATGATTTGGTTGTAATGACTGAGAAAAAATGCTTGCGTCATCAAGTTAAATTTGAAAGTTATTTTGTAGACTATTTTCAAATTCCGTGGGTAGTGAGACTATTTTCTTGTCAAATATTTTCTTTTGTATTATTGCCGGATCCAAGCATTGAAGACCAAACTTTTTGCTGGTTGTGCCAGTAAGAAACAGAGCCCTTTCTATATAGGAATAGATATCATTTTAGTGCATCCACTGATACTAAAAGTATAATTAAAGAATCACCATCATAACCTAAGTCAAAATAACTAATTATAATGTTAGCTCACATCAAAAGTTTGCTATGAAAACTGTTAGTTCAACATCAAATACCACATTCAACAATGGTCCTTCGATCCTAATAGCTTTTGAGATGATTTTTCCTTGCATTTCTATTCCTTATGCTATGCAAAAGATAATAATAATAATATTTAAGACATAGGTATACACAAAATAATGTTACTGAAATTTTTGATTGATAGACACCACAACTGTCGGTAGGAAACTTTTTTATGGAGTAGAAAGAAAATGGGCTAGCGATACCTGATGGTAAGCTAACAACGCTATCCAAGGACACCCCCAACATCAGAGGAGTTACAGGTGTGTTGCTAGCTAAAAAGTACATAGTAAGTATCTGAGAGTTTAGCTTTAGGGACTCAACCATATTGAAAAAAGTTGAAGATGGAAATGAAAGACAGCATATTTCAGTCACTCTTGATGCCCAGTAAGTCGACTAAGTAGCTACTACGAAGTATGTACACATTTTTAACAACAATAAAGTTATGCAGCAGACCTTAAGCTACATTAGCGCCATCTGTGGTGAGACTGTCACGAGAAATCGAAGTCCAAAATAATTTTGAGTAGGTATTCACAACCTTTCAATAGTGGTAATTCGGGCACAATAGAAGAACAATAGGTGCATGAACGCCGGCGTTCGCTTGGGGTTTGGCGAATTAAGACAGCTAAGCAAATAGCATAAGGAATAAAAATTGCAAAAACATTGATATGAATCGTTACATAATAATGAAGAAAACTCGTATAATTATTACATAAAGTATGCAAATACAGCAAAAAATGCATTAAAATGCGCGACAAGTGTAAATAAAAATAGCGAAATATATTATAATAAATATATGACATGTACGTAATAAAATGAGTTTCTAATAATCTCAACATCGATTCTTTATACATTAGTTTTTTAGTACAATTCGATTATATTTGTAAAGTAAAAAAACACATATGTATATATATTTTTTATACATTATGTAAATAATATGTATGTACGTTTGTGCGTTACGAAAAACGATTAACTAAGCCGATTTAGATAATAGATACGTTTAGTATTCTACTTGCATTATCATTGTCTTTAAGTGCCATATTTCTTTAAAATATCATTTTAAATACACTTATGCCCGGTTTCCGAAAGCCCGATCAATGTTAAAATCAACTTAACTAGGTGTCAAATCTCTTGTCAAGTCATCTGATTGGTTGTTGATTGGCAGTCAACCAATCAGATGACTTGACAAGAGATTAAATTGATTTTAACATTGATCGGCTTTTCGGAAACCGGGTGTTAGTACCTGAAGTGTCAAGCATAAACATTGCTCTTTATTTTGTTGACTACATCCCATCTTTACATAGTAAATATATTTGTTTAAATAACTTAGATACTATGTACGATTCAATTCCCATAAAATAGAGCAAAATCGCCTAGCTACAATTCAGGTATACAGTAAAAAAAATGATTTTTAAGAAAATATAACTCAAAAAATGTTCACCAAAAACACTTCACCGTAGCTTTTGCAAATTAATAGCTCATTATCTATGAGCACAGTCTATGAATGAGGACCATAGATACGAGTCTATGGTCCGTGACGTCATAATTTTAACTCGCCTGATTTTCGTCTAAGAACTCGACGCACGTGAATGGGAAATGGCCGATTTTGCCGTGCAGCTCTCCTTCCCATTGACCGTTTATGTTGATTTTTGTCACCTGCAAAATTTAAATAAAAAATAGTTTAATTGATGAATGATTTGATATGATGATATAAGAGACCTAAGTGCGGGAGAGCCAAGCTTCGACACAAATGCGTCGGCTCGACCGGAGTGATACAACAACCTTACAGAAAACCGGCATGAAACAAACACAGCGTTGTTTTGCCGTGTGAGTGAGGTTACTGGAGGTCCAAACCCTGCCCCTCCCCTTCCCAATCCTTAAATATCTGAAACCCTTATCCCTAAAGGCGGGTGACGCACTCGTAACTTTTTTGGTGTTGCGAATGTCCATGGGCGGCGCTGATGACTTATCATCAGGTAATCTGTCTGCTTGTTTGCCAACCTACATATTGTATACCAAAATGAAAAAAGATCGAAAGATCCTAGTACTTCTGACTGCTATTTGACACAAAAATATGATGACGTCACTAATCAATCTACTTATCAATAAATTGTCTCACAAATAATATACGAGTGTAAAATCAAAAGTTTTGAATTTGAACAATTGGCAAACACTAATCCACAATGTTTTCAACTAGTCAAAAATACTTTTTCTGAAATGCCAAAAACTACTCTAGGCACATAAATATGCATCTAAAAAAACCCATTGGGTGCATTAAAGCTATAATAATACTATGTTATGAATATAATTCTTACATAACACTTATACTAAACTATTGTCCCGTTGTTATTGTGTATGATTTCTTTCAAGACTTACTTTAATAATATCTCCTTCTTCAAGTTTCAGTGCTGTCTTGTCGTAGGCATTGGGTACCCGCGGCTGCTTCACTCGGGCTAATGCGGGGAGTGTACGCTGAAAGTTACAAAAAGAATTATTATATAAAAATTGTGTAAATAAAACATATTGACTGCACGGTTGGCGCGGTGGCTGGACAACCGGTTGCAGCGCAAAGGAAAACTCTTTGTGTGATCCACAAATTGCTGTTCCGGGTCTGGGTGTGGTGTGTATACGAAATTGATGTTTGTGAAGGCACCCACGACACATGCGAAAATCCTAACTATGCTGACTCTTTTATTTTGCCGTGTAGCGACTTACTAACATAATGTGACGGAAAACTCTTTGACATCATGACGTCAAGGGATGGTTGTCAAACGTTGCCTAGAGATTGTAAATTTCGTCGTGAATTGTCAACACGAGTTGGTGTAATCGGTAAGGCGTGTGGATTACACCACAGAGACCCCGAGTTCGAGTCCCGCCGTAAACATGAAGTTTTTTAGTTGATGGAAGTTTTGTCGAACTTTCTGGAATTATTTGAGTGAAAGAAATGAAAAATTAAGGAGCGAGAAGGAGAATAAATAAAAATGAATAACGAAATTATTGGAAGGTTCTGGAGGCATGACGATCAAAAAGAATAACGAAATTGAATGTTCTAGAACCTGACCGGGGGTATATAAGCGGAACTGCGGCTCACCGATGGCAGTTGAGTTCTAAGTCTAAAGCGATTCGGAAGAAAAGGAAGAAATGGAAAAGAAGAAAAGTCAGTGAAATAGTGAAGTGCAGTGAAATAGTGAAGTGCAGTCAGTTAAGTGAGTTAAGTCAGCGTGAACGGCAAAGTTGTGTCAGTCGGCCGGACTCTGCTGGAGAAGAACGCCGATAACTTAACTCCGTGGACGCTGTAACTTAAGTGCAATAGAAAGTCTGAAAACCGGTATTAGTTTTTCATTTCATCCAATCCCGTAACCCAAGCCCGCATAGTCAGGAACGTGACGTCAGGCACGTAACATTTGGTGTCAGAAGTGGGATTGGAGAAAAATGCCGCTAGTGCCGCAGGACGTAAGAGGAGTGAGTACCCGTGCAATGTCAGAAGCGCAGCGTGTGAGGGAAGAGGGTGCTGCAGCTCAAACCAGCGATGCAGAAGCCAAGCCTGTGCAGGTGGATCTTCTGCTACAGCTGCAGCAAATGATGGCAGAGCAAGCGCGCCGCCAAGAAGAGCAAGCGCGCTGTCAGGCAGAACAGCTGCGGGAGCTGAAAGAAGAGCAAGCGCGCCGCCAAGAAGAGCAAGCGCGCCGCCAAGAAGAGCAAGCACGCTGTCAGGCGGAACAGCTACGGGAGCTGAAAGAAGATCAAGCTCATCGCCAAGAGGATCAAGCTCGCCGCCAAGAGGAGCAAGCGCGTCGCTTGGAAGAGATGCATAAGGATTTCACGAAGGGACTGCAAAAGGCTGTCGAACGGGTACAAGAAGTGGAGGAAGGGTTAGGCAAGTTGGAACATCGCGTCATGGCGATAGAGGAGAGAGTGAAAGAAGAGATCTCCAAAATCAAGCAGGAAGTGACAAGCCCAAGCCCTTTGAAGAGCCGAAGCCGTCTTGCAGCCGTTTTTGACGCCCCAAATGTGGCCTCAAGCGCAACGAAAGGGCTCAAGATTCCCCATTACGACGGAACAACATCCTGGAACGCGTTCAAGCTACAGTTTGAGACACTTATGGAGGCTTATGGTTGGACTCAGAAGGAAGCACAGTCAGCCCTCACCCTGGCCCTCCGTGATCAAGCGCTCTCAGTGCTGGAAGCTATCGGCGCAAGTGGGGATCTCAGCTTAAGTGCCCTCCTCGACGCACTTGAGGCACGTTTTGGAGACAGCCACCTCGAGCACGTGTACAGAGCGCAATTAAAAGAGCGTACTCAGCGTGCTAATGAGAGCCTACAGCAATGGTCCGTGGAAATCGAGAAACTTGTGCGTCGAGCTTTCCGGTCGACTCCGTCAATGATTGAAGGCACGCTTCTCCAAGCGTTCATTGACGGTATTCGGGACCCCGAAGTACGAGCTGCTGTTCATCTGGGCCATCACAAGAACATGAAAGAAGCTCTGGCCCATGCATTGGAAGTGGAAGCTGTGCGTGGTAACTCCCGTACCTTATGTCTGCGGGAAATGACGACTACGGAGCAGGTACCTCCACGCCGTCGGAACTTCATGTGCTATGGATGCGGAGAGCGTGGGCACATGCGGAGCAACTGCCCGAAGAAGGTGAACCGCCAGGACGCGGCGGTCTCAACTTCTGACCAGCAGGGAAACTAATTCCAGCCAGGGCTGCGGGGTGGGCGCTGGCCGGTAGTGGAATAACCCCAACAATCTACATCAAGCAAACTAACGATGGAAATACTCTGGTGGTAGACGGTCAAGTAAATGGGAAAAACAGTCAGCTAACATTAGATACTGGAGCTTCAAGGACGGTGATAAATGTTCGGTTGCTCGGGCAAAACATCAGGAAACACGTTAAACCAATTGTTGGCCTACGAATGAAATCAGCTACCGGCCAGTGGATACCGATAAGTGGAAAACTGCACGTAACAATCAAAATTGGGGAACGTGTTTATCGACATGAGGTTATTGTGGCCAAAATTCTGGACGACTGCATCCTGGGACTTGACTTCCTGCAAGGGCACCAGTGTAACATCGACTTAAAATCTGGAGTATTACTATGTGGAACTGAGGAAATTCCGATGAAGGGTGGAACCCTGGGAAAAGTTTGCTGTTTAAGAAGAACTGTTCTTGAACCAAAATCACAGACTCTCGTACCAATCGCATTACCTAGGAGGAGTGAAGGAAGTTTACCTCGAAGGTGCGCTGTGATTGATAAATCGGAACACGTAAACTCATGGCTACCGGCAAGGACTGTCGTGGGGTCATCTGATGTCAACCGCATTCCGGTATTCAACTTCAGTGATTCAAAAATTACGATTGAAGAAGGAGAGCCTGTGGGCGTTTTGGAAGAAGTGGCCTGGATAAGAAAATGCTCGGAAAATCTTGTGAAAAAGGACAGTACGGGAATAGACTTTGTAACGAAAATCTTAGACGAAAACAAAAGTCTGACAAAAGTGGAGACTATGAAAGCTAGAAATTTACTCCTTCGATTCTCTGATGTGTTTTCAAGAAGCGATGGTGATATTGGCCGAACTGGTTTGGTGAAGCATAAAATAAATACAGGTGATACAATGCCAATTCGTCAAAGGCCCAGACGTATACCATTCGCTCGTGAGAAAGAGGTTGAACAAATGATTGACGATATGAGGAAAAATGACGTGATAGAGCCCTCTTCTAGCCCTTGGTGTTCACCTGTCGTGCTTGTCAAGAAGAAAGATGGTTCAACGAGGTTTTGCGTAGACTATCGACGATTGAATGATGTAACCAAGAAGGATAGCTACCCGTTACCAAGAATCGATGACACACTTGACACACTGAGTGGCATGAAATGGTTTTCAACGCTCGATCTGAAAAGCGGCTATTGGCAGGTGGATTTGGATCCCAAGGACAAGGAAAAGACCGCATTCTCAACTGGGAAGGGACTCTGGCAATTTAAGGTGATGCCATTTGGATTATGCAATGCACCGGCAACCTTTGAGCGTTTGATGGAACAGGTGCTGGCGGGACTGCTGGGCGAAACCTGCCTAGTTTACCTCGATGACATCATCATCGTTGGACGGGATTTTGACGATCATCTAAGAAAATTGGAAAGGGTACTCGAAAAGCTGCGTGGAGCAAATTTAAAGTTGAGTCCGAAGAAATGCTCTTTCTTTAAGCGCGAAGTGAATTATCTAGGACATGTTATTTCTGAGAGAGGAATTGAGACTGATCCAGCCAAGACTGCCGCTGTTAAGGAATGGCCAACACCTAAAGACAAAACGCAAGTTCGGGCATTTCTTGGATTATGCTCGTATTATCGGCGGTTTGTGAAGGGATTCTCGGACATTGCCAAGCCATTGCATCGATTGACAGAGGAGAAACGTGCCTTTATATGGGACGAGGATTGTGAGCAAGCCTTTCGCGAACTAAAAGAACGGCTTTGTAAAACGCCAATTCTCGGATACCCCAGCGCGAAAGGAATATTCGTAGTTGATACGGACGCCAGTAATATCGGAATTGGAGGTGTCCTTTCACAACGCGATGGTGAGCAGGAGAAGGTTATTGCTTACTTCAGCAAGTCACTATCCAAGCCGGAGAGGAATTATTGCGTGACCAGGAGGGAATTACTGGCCGTAGTCAAAACTCTGCACCATTTCAAGAAGTATTTACTGGGACGGAAATTTTTAATCAGAACTGATCACGCTGCTTTGAAATGGCTGCTTCAGTTTAAGGATCCTGAAGGCCAAGTAGCCAGATGGTTGGAACAACTTCAGGAATTTGACTTTGAAATCGAACATCGCGGCGGAAGAATTCATGGCAACGCAGATGCATTATCGAGACGCCCATGCGTGGAAGATTGCAAGCATTGTGCCAAGAAGGAAATTGCTTTTCTTAAGGTGATAAGGACTGATACTGTTGACGAGGCATGGGGAGATGATGCGATGAAATTAGAACAGGAAAGAGATGCGGATATCAAACCAATACTGGAGTGGCTACGAAGTGGTAACAAGCCAAGTTGGAGTGACGTCGCCCAATATAGCGCGGTAACGAAAGGTTTATGGGCACAGTGGAAAAGCCTTACGCTGCATAATGGACTTCTGTGCAGGAAATGGGAATCAACAAACGGCAAGGACGAGCATTTGCAATTGGTGGTGCCTCGTTCAAAAATAAGGGATGTATTAAAAGCGTTCCATGATGGATCTTCTGGAGGACATTTGGGAATTAGGAGGACTTTGGTGAAGATCAAGGAGAGGTTTTATTGGTTGCATTGCAAATATGACGTCGAAGATTGGTGCCGGAAATGCACTAGTTGTGCAGCTGTCAAGGGTCCACAAACAAGAAGCAGAGGGGCGATGAAAATCTACAATGTTGGTATGCCTTGGGAGAGAATAGCCTTAGACATCGCTGGACCATTTCCAATCACTGATTCGGGCAATCGCTACGTTTTAGTGGTTATGGATTATTTTACAAAATGGCCGGAGGTCTTTGCCATACCGAATCAAGAGGCAGTAACTGTAGCCACGAAGTTGGTAATCGAGGTATTCACCCGATTCGGAGTGCCCTTGGAGATGCACAGTGATCAAGGACGGAACTTTGAGTCCCAAGTTTTTCAGGAAACTTGTAAACTTTTGGGAATCCATAAGACTCGAACTACTCCTTATCATCCACAGTCAGATGGAATGGTCGAACGTTTCAACCAAACATTGGAACGACACTTAGCAAAGGTGGTTGACAGCCATCAGAGAGATTGGGACACTTACATACCTCTCTTCTTGCTTGCCTATCGGACTGCTGTACATGAAAGTACCGCAAAGACGCCTGCATTTGCAAATTTTGGAAGGGAATTGAGATTACCGGCAGATCTTGTATCGGGCTGTCCACCTGGCGACTCTCGCACCGAGTTTAGCGATTACATAAGCGAGTTAAGGGCAAAAATGTTGGACATTTATGAGCAGATCAGGGAGGCCGGTCTTCAAGCTAGTGATCGCGCAAAGACGCGCTATGATCGACGAGCCAATTCTGTTGGGTTTGAAGAAGGGTCGTTGGTCTGGCTTCATAATCCAGTCAGAAGGAAGGGAAAATCTCCGAAGCTGCAACCGAGTTGGGAAGGTCCTTATGAGATAGTCACGAAGATCAATGACATTACTTACAGAATTCGGAAGACTTCAAGGAGCCCTTTGAAAGTTGTCCATATAGACAGGTTGGCGAGGTATTACGGCAGCAACGATGCTCGGGACGAGCGAATCTAAGAGGGGGGCAGTGTGACGGAAAACTCTTTGACATCATGACGTCAAGGGATGGTTGTCAAACGTTGCCTAGAGATTGTAAATTTCGTCGTGAATTGTCAACACGAGTTGGTGTAATCGGTAAGGCGTGTGGATTACACCACAGAGACCCCGAGTTCGAGTCCCGCCGTAAACATGAAGTTTTTTAGTTGATGGAAGTTTTGTCGAACTTTCTGGAATTATTTGAGTGAAAGAAATGAAAAATTAAGGAGCGAGAAGGAGAATAAATAAAAATGAATAACGAAATTATTGGAAGGTTCTGGAGGCATGACGATCAAAAAGAATAACGAAATTGAATGTTCTAGAACCTGACCGGGGGTATATAAGCGGAACTGCGGCTCACCGATGGCAGTTGAGTTCTAAGTCTAAAGCGATTCGGAAGAAAAGGAAGAAGTGGAAAAGAAGAAAAGTCAGTGAAATAGTGAAGTGCAGTGAAATAGTGAAGTGCAGTCAGTTAAGTGAGTTAAGTCAGCGTGAACGGCAAAGTTGTGTCAGTCGGCCGGACTCTGCTGGAGAAGAACGCCGATAACTTAACTCCGTGGACGCTGTAACTTAAGTGCAATAGAAAGTCTGAAAACCGGTATTAGTTTTTCATTTCATCCAATCCCGTAACCCAAGCCCGCATAGTCAGGAACGTGACGTCAGGCACGTAACAATAATATTATGTCGATGGCCAACATTTATCTCCGAAAGTACTCGATTCCGCACAATATAACGTGTCAATTCTACTGCACAATTGACGTGGTGGTTGGGGAACTAGCTGCCGTGCAAGGTGTTGTGGGGTCGACTCCCCTTAATGTGAATTTTGATTGATTGTTGATATATGTAAAATTGAATACATAATATATTTCGTAACGTATACGACATACGTGAAAATCTTGGTGTGGTAAATGTAAAAAAAAAAGAAAATGAATAAATTGTAGATGGCGCTGCGGTAGTTTTAGGATACTCTACTTTATATTTTATACACAGGATTGTTCATCCATAGGCCTTTTCACCAGCTGTTAACAACTAATATCAAAGAGACTTTATTATAATAGTATTTTTTTTATTTTTTGGCTAGCCTCCCAACCTACCTGCATATTTGTACGCTGCTGTGGGTGTTTGTTGCTAGGTGGGCTGGGCGGATCCGCCAGGTGATTGAGAGCCTCCGCTGGTGGGTATGGCACACCCGATGGGTCCAGGATCTGGAAGAGGAAAGAACAATATTATGATTGTGAAAGAAACTCTATTGTTATGATTACAAGATATTACTGATATATTTTACTAGCCAAATATATAGAAACAAAGGTCTTGGGATTCAGTCCCATTCGTTTTTATTAGTATAAACTTAATTATTAATTAATTTTTTATGTGACAGTGTCGGGTTGATGCTGCCCATAGACACCCAAACACGCAACTCCAGTGGAGTTACTAGCGCGTTGCTAGTCTTTTGAGAGATCGGGGAAGTCGAGTAATGATTGGGACCGGTAACCTCACTTACACGACGCAACACAACGCTGTGGTTGTTTCACGCCGGTTTTCTGAGAGGCCGAGGTATCTCTCTTGTCGAGCACCCATTCATGCTGAAGCATGGCACTCCCAGACTTGTAAAATTATGATTTTCTTTTTATCCCTTAATTATTTATATATTACGCCTGGTGATAAGCAATGATGGGATGGTAAAGTGGTCGTGATCAGCTTACCCTCTGGACATAAGGCACGGGTATGGAGCCGGTGCGTCCGAGGCTGTTGCGAGCTGTCCACCATTGTTCCTCATCACGATTGATCACCATCAGCCGCTCTCCACGACGGAAGGGAAGGTCATCAGCGTCCTGAAATCAAATAAGTTTCTTTTTAGGTTTTATGAAGTGAGTTTTGATTGTGAAGTTCACTGTTATTATTTTGGAAATACAGTACATCTAGAGAATTATAAGTGTTAATAAAAAAAAAGTTTAGAAATTGTGTTTTTTTTATGTAAAAGACCGGCAAACGAGCAGGCGGATTACCTGATGGTAAGTAATCAGTGCCGCCCATGGACACCCGCAATGGAGGAGTTACGAGTGCGTTGCCGACCTTTTAGGGATAAGGGATTTGGAGATTTAGGCATTGAGGAGGGATTGGGGGTGGGGAAGGATTGGGCCTCCGGTAACCTCACTCACACTGCGAAACACAACGCTGTGGTTGTTTCACGCCGGTTTTCTGTGAGGCCGTGGTATCACTCCGGTCGAGCCGACCCATTCGTGCCGAAGCATGGCTCTCCCACACTTTTGTTTGTAATTTATCTCTCGCATTTATTAGTTTTAGCGTTATTTTTAATAATAATACTAAATCGTTATTTGCTGTTAAATAAATCATTTCTTTTTGTTAACCACTGGTGATTTATAGATTATTTTCTATATTAACGTAGCCTTTTTTTAGAGGGATCACATATGAAATGAATTCTCGCATTTTATCGGAGCGAGAGAGACTTATCCTCTCCAGTTGACTTCTCCAGTGTGGTTGCTAAATATTACACAAACATTACATGTAGACCAGAAACAGCAATATAAAAGCGTATTTCAAAATCCAAACATAAGCAGAACACTTTAAAACGCTAATACATTATTGATGTCAGTTTAAAACAAACATATACAATTGACGCGCGACGGGCTGCGAACCCGAACCCGTGCGTCACACATAAACCAATAACTATCACCGGGTTATTTTAGCGAAAACATAACGTAAACAGCTACCAGCTACTGCTAGGAAAAGAGTTCGTTTATTTTTAGATTTTTTTTTGTACTAAATCGTATTGTAGAAAAGTGCAAAAGTTTAGATTTTCTCTATTGTCATAGAGCCCAGATTACACGCATTATAGTAGGTCTAAAATATGACCTACTACTACCTACTCTCGCGCGGTTTCACCCGCTTCTCGGCTCCATTTAATCATGGCTCGGCTCAATTCAACAGGAACATTGTAGCTATCTATTCTTGAAAGAATTTTGGTAATCCGACCAGCGGTTTCAAAGATTACATCTACATACAAACTTACAAATTTTACCTCTTAATAATATTAGTATAGAATAGATAAAAGACCGAATACAACAGAATGTATGCACCAAAAGCAGCAAATGTAGGAAAATTATCAGGCTTTGGATTTACCCTTAACGTGTTTTATGCGGTAGATGCAGTAGAAGCAGCATAAAAAGTTCCAAAATCACAACCAAATAATCGATATAAATATGAACTTTTTGACACAATTTCTGAATAAAGGTGTTGTGGATAGGTTTTATATGATTGCCTGATTTGGTACATAGGATTCGGTTCCATGAGTTACTGAGGACAACACACATTCTATTTTCTTTCTTATGTGCCCCTATCAATACTAGCCATAATAAATATACAGATACGTTAATTCAACAAAATATAAACGCACCCACGACACAACAGTAAACCAAAGTGTGGGTAGCATAGTGTTGCCCAAATGCAAGAACAAGACGAGACTTAGCCAGTCTTGGTCTTGGTCTTGCGCCAATACACCTGGTTTGGTCTTGCGCTCCCAGTCTTGGTCTTGGTCTTGCAGCAAGAGTCTTGCCAGTCTTGCAATTACCTATTAGTCTATTACTATTTATTAAAGTTTACTTTAAATCTTAGAAAAACGTACTAAATGTACAATAATAGTACCTACCTAAGTAATTAGTTTAAAACCATATAAGTAATCAATATTATAATATATACTTACTAGAATGAATTAATATGACATCTACTACCTATCCTTACCATTTTATCCTAATCACAATATTACTTGCGTGATCAGTATAATGTATTCATTTTCATTCAAAACACTCTGAAACTTATTTATTCTTTGGAACACCTGTAGGTACTCTTAAAATTCGAAATTATTTTGCATGAGTATACCTACGCCCTATGGCGGCAATCAAATAGTGTCAAGTGTTATGATTTCGGCGTGGCGGCAACGATTGTTTTAGATTTCAAAAGAAGCCGCCGGCGCGTGTATCTTAACCATGTACTTCCGAAAAGCGGCAAATTTCTTTGAGAAGTAAGTACAAAACCGTTGATGCCGCATTATCAAAGTGCCGAAGGTTAAAACATAACTACGCATGCAATCAGTTTGATTTTAATAGATATTTTTTTATTCGCTATGTTTATGGTATTAGTCGTAATGCGCATAGGTCCAGTTTTTCATATCCTTTGATACAGTTTTTTGCGTCTAATAGAATTCCTAAGCGTACCTACCTATACACAACTACTCAGTGAAATAGCGCTAAGTCCTAGCTGCAAGACGCAAGAGTCTTGCAGGCTACGTCTTGTTCTTGCTCGAGTCTTGCACGGTCAGTCTTGGTCTTGGTCTTGCTAAAAATACGCGGTCTTGGTCTTGGTCTTGCAAAAACGCAAGAACAAGACCAAGACTGAATTTGGGCAACACTAGGGTAACAGTAAAAAATAACTTAAAATCCAAATGCGCCTGATCAACGAGGCAGTCAAACTTTTTGTGTCTTATCACAAATCTTAATAAAATCAATCAGTAATCCTAATAATAATAAGTGAAATTCCAAGTAGTTTTTTTAGTGGGTCTTCTGTAAGAACTCCATCAGATACCTTGATTGAAGTCACGGTAAACATTTTCCCGAATGTTGACAACTGCTCCAAATCAATGCCTTTTTTTCCAAATTTATGTAGTCTGTTAACTATCTAGAATTCTAGATGTTTCTATTTGAGTTGCTGTTCTTGTAAGTATCAGTTTAGTGTTTGCAAAAATAGCCACATTGTAAAGTTGAGCACTGTTAAAACATCGCATCTGTATTTTTTTTTTTATGTAATAAATCGGCTAACGAGCAGACGGATTACCTGATGGTAAGCAATCAGCGCCGCCCATGGACACCCGCAACGGAGGAGTTATGAGTGCGTTACCGACCTCTTAGGGATTAGGGTTTTGGAGATTATGGGATTGGGGAGGGAGGGGAAGGATTGGGTCTCCGGTAGCCTCACACGGCGAAACACAACGCTGTGGTTGTTTCACTCCGGTTTTCTGTGAGGCCTTGGTATCACTCCGGTCGAGCCGACCCGTTCGTGCCGAAGCATGGCTCTCTCACACTTAATAATTTATTATGAAAATGGTATCTACGGACGGCGGAAATAACTATCTCTGTAGGTACCAACTTGAGAACGACTTGGATGATTTGTCTAAGACTAAACAACAACTCAGGTTTATATAAACTCTGCACAGTTATTTTGAGGTTTTAAAGGTATTAGTAGTGTGTATGGTTTAGTTGAAATTATTAAAGATGGACCAAGTCTAGACGGTAGTTTCCAACTAGTCAAATTCAACACTTTTATCGAAATGTCAAAAACGATAATTTCTATGAATCTTGTATGAAATAGCAAGTTGTGACGTCATAATATTTTAATGTAAAATAGTATACTTATTTCTTTTAAATTAACAATTAAAATACGAAAATCAATTATATCGTAAAATAATGAACTAAGGTATAATTGTTTTTTAGTATTTTCATAGTTTTATACGTTGAAATAATTTCTTTTTGACTGAGGATACAAGCCAATCCGCCTTAAGGATTAGATTAGAAGCGTGATGATTAATGATCATAACTTACAGAAACGTGGGACACAATCGTCTTAAAGCAAAGATAAATCTGCAAAAATCTCCTATCTCGAATTTTCCATCCCATTTAGTTCAGCGCCAAAAAATAATCGCACGAATGACGAATATCGTCCTAAAATAAAAATACTGACAAACAAGGTACTGATGAACTATGTATCATCAAGAAATCCAAGTTCCTAGTGACTGTATATCTAATTATAACTACGGCCGGTGACGTTGTTAGTTGCTAGCAGGCACAATCATACAGCGTTAAATACGGCCATTAAAAAAAATTATGAGCCGAAGAAATTCAGTTTGAGAGTGAAAGTAAATTAATAATTTATACATACATTTATATAAAAAATAAATAAATAAACAATAGTTTTCTTTTATGTAATCTTGATATTGGTTACGCTTAATTATTCTTATTATATAAATACTTAAAATTCTTTAGTTATGTGGTTGCGGATTTGATAACTTTATACTAAGTATTTGAGTTTTAATTTAAAAAAAAAATGTTTTACATTTAGAAATGTTATTGTTTTGGTTGTGATATTTCAGTGTCTATTAGTCCGTTTCTAAAGAAACTCATTTACAATTTTAAAACCGCAATGATATAATTTGTTTATATAAGCCACGGCGTAGCTTGAAACGAGTTGAGTTACCTTGTCTAAGACTTACGTAAGTAAACAGTATAAAATAAATTATTTAATAAGATACAAATAGAAAAAAAAAACACATGACTATATTGTTATATCGACAGTTAAAACATAGAATAATGACGAGTGTCATAAAATTTTGATGTTCCTATTGTGCGTGTCCAAATATATTACATAGACTATAACATAACAAGCGACATTGAAATAAACATAATGTGTGAAGATATTAATTTGTATTGTTTTATTGAATCAAACTTTTCAGTTCTATAAGTGGACTGGCTGGTTGACAAGGAGGAAGGAATCGTTGGAGCGATTTTTTATGATGCTCATGTATGGTTATTTTTTCCGTTTCAAAATGAGACTAATGAGTTTTCTCAATTTAGAATCTAGCTAATGTGATTAATGCTCTAACCTTCCCGTACGAGAAGAGGCCTTTGCTTAGCAGTGGGCACTTATTATAGGCTGATGTGCTTGTAGAAAAAAATGAGTGTATTTTTCAAATTGGCTATTTAGACCTATACATATAAACCTTAAGTCTCAGGCTTATTAGAAACTTTCGTATTGATAATATTAGTAAGATTTTACTCACGTTTCCAGAGAAATCAAACTTGGCGATGACCAGTTCCAGAACCTGGTGCGGCTGCTGTGGCGGTGGGGCGGCTACCTTCGCCAGCGCCTGCGGCAGCGGCCGGACTAAGGGCGTCGTGTCCAAATAGTGCAGCCGGTAGAACGCTAGCAACGCTGGCATGTCGGCGAAGAGCTGGTCTCCGATCCGGAACCGAATCGTCCCGTCCGCGGATACAACGCGGTTTATTATGTAGTGGGAGACGCGGTCGTCTTCTCTGGAATTTTTAGAGGAATTCATTGTTAATGGGCTTTTGAAAATAAAGGTTATTTTGGTATTTTTGGGAGTAATTTTCTTTAACTTTAAGCTGGCGTTCAGCTTGAAGAAATGGAAGGAAAGGTAGTAGGTATTTTGTTGACGTCTTAATAACGTCGACGACTATTTTAAATAGAAAAAGACTTCAGACTACAAAACCATAAGGCTCTTATTTATTTAAGAGATATTTAAGTTGTATAGGGTTCCAGAATTGATTAATCTACTGCAATGATGTATAAAACTATAGATACGTTGTCCGCGCTCTAAAATGTCAACATGAAATGAAGGCAATTGACAACATCGCGCTTAGTTACGCACCAACCTGCCGCGCGACGCTACGTTTGTTTTTAATTTATATCGTGTGTAAACCTGTGCGAAACACAAAGAAAGCATGTCGTCGTGTGTGTTCAGACGATGTACAAATTATACTCCAAAAGTTAAAGACAACAATGTGTCATTTCATGCGTAAGTTCATCAAACAACCTATTTTTATTTTATTTTTTTCGACGCCGGCGTCCGCCATCTTATGGCGGCCGGCGTATGAAGGTATAGTCACGTGCCGTCGGCATAACTGAAGATGTATATTTATCTCCCTCTAGCAAAGGCATTCCACTATACGATGTCATATTTTCTTTCCCTTTCTTTACTCGTAGAAGTAGTTATCTAGTATTTTCGCCGTTTTTAAGCGCCGCGATGTTGGTTCATGACGTGTCTATATATAATACGTCATTGATCTACTGCATGTTTCGACTAGCAGGGGTAGAAGCCATGTTTTATTCGTTTATTACGCCTAATATGTACATAAGTATAAAAACAACTTTCGCTAGTTAACACCAGACATTCCATAATAACATTGAAGTTAACCAACCTGACACAAAGAACGTAGTCCCCCGTGATAGTCTTGGAGTCCCTCACAAGGAACACTCCACTCTCCGTCTCGTTGAGGAGCAGCCTCGTAGCTTCAGCGCGAGACAGGTCTCTGAAGTACCAGCTGTTGACAAACACAGGAGCTTTAATATAGAAAATATAGAAAAAGCAAAGAGTATCAGAAATAGCAAGATTAAAGATGAAATGGCAGTGGAATGGTCCCATTTGTAGCGGAACCTATAATAATAACTTTCGAGACGTGATGGATTTCACCAACACAACTCGTAAACCTGGTTTCACCATCTGTGCGGAAGATTTAGTAATTTGTCCCATTTACTCATTTTATTATGATGACATTTTTTCGAGAGACATCGTTAACGGCTTTTCGGGATTGAACAATAAAAAGATATGCTTTCGTAGTCAAATAATATAGTCGCATTGGCTCACAGACTCACAGGTTAAGACACCCAAACTTAATAGAACCTAATAAAAACTTTAACTCACATTTTTACTTTAAGTGCGATTATTTAGACATCACTTATCCTCTGAAGGAAAACATCGTGAGGAAACCTAGACTTATAATTTCTAATAAACAAGTTTGAACTCACTAATCTGCCTCGAGCAAGATTAGTGATAAAATAATACTCAAACCTTCTCCGTGTGAGTAGAGGCTCTTGCTCAGCAGAGGACGCTCAGAGGCTGTGATTCAAAAATAACTGTCATATTAGAGGTAAGGTAGTTCTAAAGTAAGTACCTTCATACTGTTAATGAAGAAAATTGAGTCTCTACAAGAGGTTCAGGAACTGTCAATTCCATTTAAAATAAAATTACAGTGTTCTGTATGGCCAAATCATAAGTGAAAATGCTAAGGCAGAACTAGATAATTCCAATATTCATCCAACACCAAGGAAGTGGATCAAGACTAGGAATTAACAGTTTCACAAAGAACGGATTCAAGGTCAAAACTATTAGCTGCTAATTACCAACAAAATGTTTTTGCTGTCTCAATACAAGATACAAGACGTTTTTGCACTAATTACTTCATGAGTTGTGAAAATCTCAAGGCCAAATGGTCCAATCGCTTAGTCTGGGAGAGCTAAACTTCGGCACGAATGGGCCGGCTCCACCGGAGTGGTACCACGGCCTCAAAGAAAACCAGCGTAAAACAACCAAAGCATTGTTTCGTATGAGTAAGGTTACGGGAGGCCCAATTTTATGTAAGCCAAATCAAATTGGTTCCCTAAGTTACGTGCATCTTGTTGCTGATTTCATTAGGGCGCATAAGCATGAAGCAAGTGTCAACTAGATGCTTAGGTGCATATTTTATATGGACTGTACACTAAGCAACTTGAGTTTCGGGTTACCGTTACCGTCATCGACAGATGCCCAGGCATTGCGTCAGCCTTAGGCATACCTACACAACAGTCAAAGTTAATGTAAAAATCTTATAATTTCTGGAAAGGATTTCATTCATCTTAGAATATAGTAGAATGCATTTTTCCATAAAAAATATTGCAAGTGTAATGATTTTATCATGTAGGTGCATATGTAATCAAATAAGATAGGAGAATTTTTCAGACAATCTATAGCAATCAATTTAAGAATTTTATAATTTTTTTATTTGAATCATAACTCTTTTCCTGGCCCTTAGTGTCAAACATTTACTGATTAAAAACCAAGTTTAAAGAGTAGTTTCAGGTTTAAGTGGCAGGTGTCTAATGTGTAAAACCTGGTCTCATTTATGGCACCTAACACAAAGGGTAGGGGGACACTGTCAGCATTAGAATGTAATTAAAATACACAAATTCTTAACATAAAAAATGGTTGACTGGTAGAGAATGCCATAAATAAAAATATTCCTTGAATTAAGATCTGTATTTTCAAGTAGTTTGTTCAAGAAAAGCTCAAGAAGCTTTTCTTGAGCTTTTCTCAAGAGACCCAGGACCCAGACATACTTAGTAATTATATATTTATATACCCAATTCTTATTAATTTGAATAACTTTTCTAGTGATTGATAATAAATACAATTATGACTAATTCATTTAATTAATATTATAAATGAAAAAATAATTTGCTCCGAGCAAAGTTCAACAGTAGGACACAACTTATGTATTTTATTTTTTATCAAAAATACTGAACTATGAGTAAGCATAATACATATATATATATATATAATATACATTATTCTTAGAACTAAGATAAACAATGTATGCTAATATAGTGATGTTGAAGCAACTGAAGTTAATTATAACAAACAATATATGGATCACAACGTAACAAGGTACATAATAATTAATTATAGATGAAACAGTGGTTTTATTTTTGCAAAGACATATGCCAAAATATGGCACTTTTACATGTCAAATTAGAAGTAAAAAATTTGATGAAGCTAGATGGAGCTCTGTAATCTACTTCCATAGCACAAGTGTGAGTTTATATCTGGATATTATGATTTTTCTTATTATAATAGTATGATTTTATTTTATTAATTTTTATATGATTTTAATATTATTAATTTTTATGCCGACATATTAATTACAGAGTACACTCAATGTAGGGTTGCCATCTATCCGGGTTTCCCTGGACATATCTGTTTAAGAGGCATCAAATTCCGAGGTTTTTACACTTATTGTCCTCCTGGTGGACAGATTTTAAAGATGGCAACCCTATGCCACCTTTTATTACATCACATTGTCGATTTTTTATAATACAAATGTTGATTTTTTAGCTTTAATCAAATCAGCTGGTTATCAATATTAGGTATAAATTGTGCGGGAAAAAAGAAACTGATTTGGCAGACAGCATATAAACAAATATATGGGTAGTATGGATAAAAAGTGATATTTTATCAATTTGATGAAGTGCATCAAATGCATCTTAGAAAAAAAACATATTTGACAACTATTTTGCAGCTTGTGTTGAAATTTTTTTATGCAATAGGTCTATAAACAGATTGGTATCCTCTCCCCTAAGACAACCTACTGATGTCTGATGGTAAGCAATCAACACCACACAAGGGCAATTTCAATATAAGAGAAGTTGCAAATATGTGTTTGGTTTATCAATCTTCAGTTAAGAAATCAACAGAAAAGAAAAAATGAAAGTGGCTGTTTGATTTTCTAATTTTAAATTATGAACAGTTTATTCATATATTAATTAGGTACACTAACTGTTCCTAGCCAAAGTTCAAAGAGATGAAGGAAAATGCTATAAGAAATTAAGTCTTATCCAAGTAAATAGTATGTGTCATAAAATTTATATTTATATTTTTGAGGAATGAAGTAGTGGTGGCCTGGTACTAATAAGTAGGCTGAAATTAAGTTTTATTTTATTAAAATTTTGCATAAAAAAGACTTAATCTTTTTGTTCATCAAAGGACTAATTAGAGTAGTATAATATATTTAAATATAGAACACACTGTTTACCAGTCCAAAGGCAGTTCAAGTGATATGAAAGTGAATTAATTGCCAATTCCACTCTAGACACCATGCAATCGATAAACATTTTCAAAATAAGAATCTGCAATAGGTGATTATATTTTTTTTATTTAAATATTTATGTCTATCATCCTAAACCTATAATAATTCAGTCTTAGGCAATATTTGTTTTAAAGTCAAGTATACATTGTTTTTTTTCATAGTCAGATTCATTTAGTTGCATTTTAGAATTGTTTATGTTAAGCCTCATGTCACCAAACTGAATTAACTTTTTTTTAACCTTACTAGCATTAATTATATTGTTGATTGACATCTACTAGATTTGAATCCAGCATGCATATTATAAGATACTTACACACTAATCAAAATACGCAGTATATTTTTAAAATCTATGAAGATATTTAAGTCCTTTCTGTAAAAAGGATGCAGGATAACTGACCACCTAACTGAGTACCTAGTTCCCCATGAAATAAATCAAATAAAATGATCATGGTTTGACTTGCAGAAGGTTAATCAAACATAGTAGAACAGGCCTTCAAGAAAATTAGTCAAGAATTGAAAGGAGAAATTAACTAATGATTGTTTTAATATTAATTGTATTTGTTTACTACTAATTGGCACTAGATTATATAATAACAATGGTTTGACACTCTTAAGCTGATTTGAATAACATGTTTTTGCATTTTTTTAAGATAAGGAGATATAATAATTAATTATTAATGATTAAATAAGACTTATAAGATTTCCAGAGATTAGTATCGAAAATAAAATATATGAAACATCAAATTTTAGCATACCATTGGCGTTAGTTTAACTTCCAATTAAGAAATTCAAAGAAACAGACACATACATCATTTTTAGGGTTACTTTCGTGAATGTGTTACTAACCTGGTCATGTCATTAGGGTCAAAGGAGACCCCGATCCCTGTGTTCGCCATGGTGATACCAGGACGTCAGAACTATGCAGCAGGATACCTCACCGGGGCGCCCACATCATGAACTACACACCGGAAATGACCCTACTTATCACTTATCACCAACCCCACACGGATTCGCTGTAGTAATCACCGCTACCACAAGATCACACAACAATCCTTTATCACTCCTATACACATTAATACCGACGTAAATTCTAATAAATTATAATTTGTTGTCATGTATCATGATTTGATGTTCACATCAAAACACATGTTTCCGCATTCGTGGCGCGCCGACGGAGCGTCGCAATCCACAACCGCACTGTCCAAACTAAGTTTGGGATGTATAAGTAAAAGAAATCTATAATTAAATCTGAATTATAAATAATCTTCCTTGATCACACACGCGAAGTTTCGCTGATGATGACGCATAGACAAATTAGCATGCTTTTTAATTTTTGACGCATAATCTTCTGGAACGGCCGTTGTCTATTGTAAAGATACATGCACATTAGACCAAAATCTACCATTTTCTTCAGTTTTACTCCATTTCTCCAATGGCAACATCGACTTCATTACACATCATCTTCGAAATTTTAGTCTATGGTTTGTGTCCATTGTTTTTCTACAATGTTATTTTTCTGACTGCTGCTGGTGGACGAAAAATTGGTTTCGCTGCGTCTAGTGTGAGTTAGTTCTAGTGTTCGTGTTCGATATTGTGATTTATTAGTAATAGATCACGAAGATGTCGTCACCGAGCGCTGGGAAACGACGCATGGACACCGATGTCATCAAACTGTATCCTTTCTTTGTTATCGTCATTACAAAGAACCTATTGCGTTCGAGGGCCACCATGTAAATATGTAGCTGTAGGGCCGTCAGCTGATTGTCACGACCCTTTATAAAATCAATATGGGGTGTGTTTTTAATAACATATCTTTGTTGCATACCCGTGAAAAGTTATTAATAACATTTTATTTGAAGGTTCCTTTTGATATAGACCTTTGACTATTTGTCTGGGTAAAGAGCGTGCATTCTTTTCACGTCTCCGTGGGCCTACGTATCTATATATAACGCGTTGATAAACTGCTAGGTAGGTGCGTTACGTTAACAGTGTTCTTCCGTGTGTGCTGGTCGATGCTATTTCGTAATTCGTTATGTAGGCCATGGTCTCGATTGCGCATTTTTTTTCTCTATGTTTATGGCCTTAGGCACACACAACGGATTATACTGTCTATTATGCGTAATTAATTGCTTGCAGGCTCACAGTCCTTTGTTACTGTTGTTGCTATGTTTGGGTCATTGTCAGTAAACAGGTTTTATTTGCATTAGAATTATTCCTCACAATTATCATTGATGTTGTATTCAAACACATGATTCATGAAACAACTTTGTTTTGAACATTCAGATATGTTTTGCACAATATCTAAATATAACTCCCTCACATAGGGCAAAAACAGCTGTAAATATTTACAAATGTGGCCTCTGTCATGAATTTACCAAAATAATTTTATTATTTTTAGAGCTGTAGATCCACAAGGTAAGTTTTCATAATTTTAAAAACTTATTGTTTTATTGTTGTATGTATAATTATTTAAAATTAAACCCCCAAATCAAGTATCTAGTTAGGCCCAATATAACTCATTTCTTGTTATTAAATATAATTTTTAAATAGGTCCAAAAGTAATCTTAATAATTTTAAAATGTAATCCTCAAATTATGTATGCTTCATTAATTTACTTATTGTCTGAGTTATTCAAAGAACTCTATATTATATGTGCTTTAATTTGTTTTACTCTGTGATTATTTTAAATTTCAAAATCAAACTAACAGATCCATAAACAAGTTGAGATAGCTAATAATCATATGGAAACTACTAAGTAATATAATTTGTACATAAGTATTATTTTCTATCAGTACCTAACTTCTAAAAGTCATATAATTAACCACAGCCTTACAAAAAAAATATTCATTTACTTACATATATCTTTAAAAAAAAGACCATTTTGTCTATGTATAACAATGCCAATACATAATTTGCAAAATGAACATTATACCAATGTCTTACAATTGATTTTGTTTTAACATCCAGGAAGTTAGTTTAAGTTGGTCAGGTAGAATGTTCCAGAAAGTTCCAACCTTTGTTTTATCATCCTTATATTTTTTTACTCCTAAGGTACAAATAGGGACAATGTAGTAATTAACACCAGTGTTAAACCAGGTTACACTTTTTCATTTAAATTCAATCTTTTGTCTGTATTTTTTACAAATCTTTCCAAAATTGTATTTTTTTTTCCAAAGTACAGTAACTGTACTTTTGGGGTATGCCTTTGGGCTTCTAATATTTATGCTCTTTTGTCTCGACTTTGTCTATGCCTATTTTATTTTGTTACTATTACATTTTAAAGGTCACTTAAAGTTACTGTTGAGAATACCTACACCTTTGAAAAATTACTGTTGATAATAAGCTACTTACGCCTTGAATTTAATAAATCTGTACCTATTCATTAATATTTTAATAAACATCAATTGATTAGGTATCGAAACTTCGATTTTTAGCGACGTGTTTTAAAAAAGAGTAAAAAATAAATTTTCTCCGCAGCTATAAAAGCTTAGTCCCAAAAATAAAATGACACCATATTTATTTATAGATGAGAGTAAAGAACCTAAAGTTACGCGTGCGATTTTAACGTAATCACATAATGTACAAGGTAATAACACTGACAAACGATAATATTTGAGTTCAATAACTTGTATGAATAGAGATACATATTAAGTCAACATAAATAGGTGTTAAGTACCTACAGAGTTTTATTTTCATTGATAAATGATAAAAAATACATAAAGAGTACGATAGGTGTACTGTACTAGCTGGCCACACGAACGTGAAGATCGATGCGAGATTTTCCACATTTAAAAATACCTATTATTAACCTCATTTAAATGCATTTACTAGTCATATTTTTCTATTCATTATAAATTGAGATCGCCCTGTCATCTGTTGTTACCTATAGGAATATAAACATGCAATCAGAAATCAAAATCATTAATGTTTATCGAGAATTGTGAATCGAACACGAGATATGATAATTAACAATCGCAATTCAAGATACTAAACTAACTCGAAACCGTCGAATTAACCGAAAAATCATTACTCCTCTCAAATCACACATACCTACGAACCTAATCGAACGAAAATAATCTAAATTCGAATATTCTCTTCATTCAACTTTGAAAGTTTTCAGACAACCTCGAAATAAGTAATACCGAATTAACGAAATCGTTTTCGCATGATCAAAAACGATTGTGTAATTTGCGAAATTTAAAAAAAGCGATGTCAATAAAGAACTTGGATAAAATAAATTTAAATATGGTTTGTTGTTATTTACATACATATGTACTTAAGTAAGTAGGTATTTAATGATATATATATTTCTCTATTTTACAAACAGAGTTATTGAACCGTCGCGTAGTACTCAGAAAGTAAACAAAAACAATAAAAAAACCGCGAAAGCTTAAACAAACGATGGCGCGTCAAGCGGCCATTTTTACACGCATGTTTTTTTTTTATTATCTAATTAGAGGCTACATTGAAAGAAGGTTTTATAATGACTTTCACTAATAACAAAACATACTACCTATCTACTTTTGTTGTTTAAGAAATCAGACGAAGTAGATAAACATGTGTTTCTTTTTTGTGAAAACGACGAGACGTAAATACGGCGTCGAAACACAATAATAAAAAACAGAGCTGCTCTATAGACGCAAAGAATTTTTTACCGCCAAATTGGTGACGCATTTCTAATACGGAGAGTGTAATTTTTTACTGTAGGTAATCGTAAGATTTCGTCAGTTTTGCTGAACCAGTTCCAAAGTACCTAAGCTTAGTGACTGATGACAAAAGGTTACCAACAATAAATTTTAACCTTACGGAACCATACTATGACTGTTTACTACAGTTTTGCCATATTTTACAATTTGGCGCATATATTTTTACGCCGTAGTTTGATGACCTTGTTAGATAAATAGGTAGGTAGGTAGCTAATTATGTTTCACAAAACAATTAACCGTTCGAATATTTTCCACCAATAAAAATACTAAAAATGGAAATTCTAAGGGAACAAAACTATTCGCGTTACATTTAAATTTCGAGATCATTTTCGATACACCTCTCCCTTTTTTTTTTTTTTTTTTTTTGTCAGGGGAAAAGAAAATCATCCAATGACTTCTCCCGCCCAGGGTAAGGCGAGAGAGAGTGTCAGACTCTTACTGACTAAAAACCCCCCCGTTCCTTCTCCTGCTCTGGGCCGAGGTCGCGGTGCCTCATTGCGCTTACCCCGCAGCCCCGGCATACACCTCTCCCTTGGACTTAATTCGTGATTAACGCTCTCTGTCGTTAGAAAATAAACGAACTCGTTACAAAAATGTATCTTGATTAGTAATTAGGTACGTAATTATATTTTAGATAGCCATTTAGACAGACTTTATCGTCATAATTAAATGACGAAATTATTATTTCTAACGGTCTTCCTTCATAGATAAGATAATGGTCTAAACAAAGCAAATATTTATGTTTATTGTTTGTTCTACCTATTTTCTACGTTTTTTACGTGCCACACAATTTAATTGGCAATGTTTTATTTGGTTTCGTCTAATGAAGCATTTGGCAGCGTAGTACTTATCTCACCTGTAAGCTTCGTTTTTACTGATACACGTTTAAACAAAATACTAGAAAACGTGGTAAAATCACAACGTTTTAACTTTGTTGTGTTTTTATTAGATTAAGATATTCAACATCTCTAACCTACCGAACCACAGTGTTGCTAGCCCGTAAAAAAATACGTAAAAGCCTTTGTTGCCATGCTCAAACAAATATTGTTTTATATTTATCATTACACTGAGTGCTTTTATGTGGCAGTGGATCTGGGTATGGTTGGTAATCTAGTTATCTATCCGTAGGTTGACTTTTTTGCCAAAAGACATCGGGCCAAACTTTTGTGTCTTCTAAAGTAATTCAAATATTTTCTGCCAAAAGACCTCAGTTATTTCTTAACCTTAATCGAGCATTATGTTTCTATTTTTGAAAAATACAACAACAATGAAATTTTTCACATTATGTACCAGGCTTTACAGAAATTCTCGCACTTCACCAAAAAAAAAAAAATATTTATATTTAGACCACATAAAAATATATCGTAGAAATCGGTTTCGTTGACAGTTCCAATTGCTAAGTTATTAAATTTAATATAGATATGGTGACTGGCGAGGTGACACGTATGACGTTGGCTATAATATTTCAATTAAATGTTATTGTGCGTCACCGTGTCGTTTGTATGTAACGTAATACATATTATAGTCTAATCATTTAATGGCACTCTTCATTATAGATTTTATTTTCACTCTTTCTTACACTTTCAAGCTTTTTTTATTGGCTTTTCACATTTCATTCAAAACTCGGGTTCTAGAAACCTATAGATCCTTTCCTTATTACATTGGACTATTATTTGCTATTAATAATTGACGATGATTATACTTAATATCCTTCAGGATTTAAAGAATACTTACCCTTTCTGAAAATAATTGTCAGTTCGTTCGCGTTTCTCACTAATTTGGGTTATACATTAAAAAAATGAATTCCTTTCTTCCATCCGTCATATCTGCATTAATATACCTATCTAGTCTTTGGCCTTGTGAAAGTCTAGCACTATTAGGAAATTTTCTAGGTTGAATAAATTTCAAAGTATGGTCGTTTTGGTGGTACCATTTTCGTGATCCGTTCGCACCTGGCACCCACAAAT